ACTTCATGCATGGTGTCTCCTCTCCAGGATGGCTGGGCTTTGGGGACACCTGTTCAAAAGCTGGCCTGTCTGGGAGCTCATGGTGACTTTGTGTTTGACCATCAGTGGTCAGGGCCAAGAAGAAAGGAAGGGCCGTGGTCACCCTCTCTCTCCTGTAGAGATGTCCGTGTGGCTCTTCATGGGCCTTGGGTCCTTCTCCTCCTCCTGTGAGTTTCTCTGTCTCTTAATGCCACATTCCCATTCCCACTGAGACTGTTGTCCTCAAGTCTGTGCCATTCAAGTCTACCACTGTTCCAGATTTGGTTTTTAAAAAATCAGTATAAATATGCATACATATTATTTTTGTTTGTTTAACCTGTAACTTCTGAACTTTTATTTCTCTAACCACTCTGTGTGTGTGTGTGTGTGTGTGTGTGTGTATGAGAGAGAGAGAGACAGAGACAGAGACAGAGAGAGAGAGAGAGAGAGAGAGAGAGAGAGAGAGAGAGAGAGAGAGACAGACCAGGCATTGAGCAGGCATGGTAGGCAAGCACTCTACCACTGAGCGTGTTGCCAAGGCTGTCCTTGAACTCCCACCTCATTCTCCCAGGTAGGAGATTACAGGCATGTTGCCATGCCTGCCTTCTGTGTGTTCTTGCCTGAAGCATTGCAGCAAAATGGTCATGGTGTGCAAACTACCCAACTCACAGCAGAGCCTTCCCGATCCGCTGAAGCTCCCTGTGTAATGTTTCCCCGGTTTCTTTCTCCACTCCCCTCCAGAAATAGGATTCTGAGCGTGTCATTTTTTATCTGTCTTTGTAGTTTTACCTTTTTGTATAATTAAGCAGTGTATCTCCATGGTGTCATGTCACAGAGTCCTACTTTTTCACTCACCTCTATGGGAATGGGTGGGGTGAGGGGGATGAATGCCAGTCTTAGGGTGTTTTCTGACCAAGCTCTGTCCCTGAGAGGAGAAAAGGACTGTGTCCTCGCCCTCTCTGACGTCTGCCTTAAACAGAGTCTGCCCTGCAAGGTGGTGGTTGCACTGAGTTACATGGACACAAAACAGTGCCGTCGTCGCTTGGGAGAATGTCGGCGTCCTGTGTGTTCTGTCTGTAACAGATGCTCTTAGCTGGGCTAGCACTGCACCGGTCACGAGCAAGCCGCGGTCCCAGGAGTACTTTACTGCCTGTAGACTCCTGGGCATGATGGTGGTCCAGAGGCCTTTCCTCCCCTGCTACTCAGCTTTAGACCAAGACCCAGTATTTATTTACCCAAAGTGGCAAGTAAAGCATAGACTGTTTATGAGATCATTGTTCTAATTGCATAGATCTCAGACTATAAATTACAGGGCTTGCTCAACACATGTTTATAGCTCCATAGTGCAAGGACAGTTGGAGAACTGTGAAAATGTTAAAATTGTGGATTTTTTTAGAGAAAAAAATGTTTGAGTGACTAAGATAATAGATTAAAGGCACAGGGTTAGACATGTAAGTACTAAGAAATCAATGTATTAATATTTAATATGGGGCTGGTGAGATGGCTCAGTGGTCTAAAGCACCTACTTAGAACAAGCTTAGCAAAGCACAGGGACCGCAGTTCAATCCCCCAGCACCA